TTCGGAGGTCGAATAACTTTAATCAATTCGGTACTCTCTGCTCTTCCTATATTTTATTTATCTTTATTTAAGATTCCTAAATGTGTACTTCGTGAGATGATTAAAATTCAAAGAAGTTTTTTTTGGGGGGGTGTTAATTTGGATAGAAAAATTTCATGGGTTAATTGGGAGTACATGTGTGTGGATAAGGGGAGAGGAGGCTTAGGAGTGGCTGATTAGGAGAGGAGGAATTGTAGTTTGTTGGGAAAATAGTGGTATAGGCTAGGTGATGGTGTTGATGGTTTATAGAAGTGGGTTCTTTGGGAGAAATACTATGGGGGTAGGAAGGAGGCTGATGTTTCTTCAGTTGTGACTTGGAATATGTCCGGTGTGTGAAAGGACATTATGGGTATCGGTAGAGGGTCGGAAAGGTTGGATGCAATGTTAGGAAAAGGTTTTAAGTGGATAGTTGGGAATGGGAGTTGTGTAGATTTTTGGCATGATAAATGGGTGGGGGATAAACCATTGAAGAATATATTTCCTCGGTTGTATGCATTAGCTAATAGTAGGGAGGGACGGTTAAAGGATATGGGGTATTGGAGTGCTGAAAATTGGATATGGGATTGTAGGTGGAGGCGAGGTTGTGTAGGGAGGGGAGTGGGGGAGGAAGAACAGTTTAGGGAGTTGATTAATAAGGTCAAGTTGCATAGGGGAGAAGTTGATTCTTGGAGATGGATCCATAGTGGTGATAGTGTATATTCGGCAAAGAAGGCTTATGATTTTTTATCACCGAAATGTTTTATTTTGGATGAGAAATGGTCTAGGGTCATCTGGGGTAAATATGTACCTTCCAAATTGAGTGTTTTTAGGTGGAGATTCTTTTTGAATAGGTTAGCTACAAAGGATAATTTGTGTCGGAGAGGGGTTGTTTTACTAGAGGGGAATGTTTGTTGTGGGCTTTGCCATGAGGGTGTTGAGCAACTCCAGCATATCTTTTGTGATTGTAAAGAAGTTTGGCTGGTTTGGATGAAGGTTTTGGGTTGGTGGGGTGTACAGAGTGTTCTGCCAAAAGATATCTTTGGATTGGCGGATGCTGTGGTGGCGGGAATCAACGGGGGGAGTTGGACGGATTTAGGACCTCTTATTTTTTTGGTTACTGCTTGGTTTGTTTGGTTTTGGAGAAATTTGAAAGTGTTTGGGGTAGGTGAAAGGTTCGAAGAGCGGATATTGGATTCTATACAATCTAAATCTTTTTTTTTGGCTGAAAAGCAAGGAACAAGGCTGCGGTTTCTCCTATACAGATTGGATTTTACGACTGTTGGAGTGCAAGAAGGCCATTGTTCAACATGGCAGGAATCTAAAGAATTATAAGAAGATGTATCAAGTGCTGAACCAGGGGGAATTATGAGGATAGAGCTCCGGTTCAGTGTGCTGCGTTTATGCTATTGAAAGACCCGTTGGAGATGTGTAATGTGATGTTGTAAAGGATTTCACTTGGCATTGCTGCAAGGGATTTCTATTGGCCTAATCTGTCATCTTCTTAATGGGTGTTCTTCAGGTCTTGTGATATATGGTGTGTTAGTTATATGTTTGTAGGGAGTGTGTTGGTTTAATTTCTCTTTTATTTTTGTAAGTGGGTAGGAGTACCCCTTGTAGTCCATTTAATAAATTTCTTTTTGCTGATAAAAAAAAAATTATGTATATATTTATTTAATAATATATGAAAGTTGTAAAAAAATGTTTATGTATCTATTCATTTAATATATATAAAAGTTGTAAAAGAAATATACAAATAAGTTATTAGAATATCATTACCCTTAACAATAATTGAAACTATTAATTTTAAGGAAAAATATATATCAGTTCTAATTTTTTAAAAAAAAATTATAACCTTAAACAACGTCATTTTATCTAATTAAAATTTAATTTAAAATTAAAAAATTCACTTTATTAAATGTTGATACATACACTTGAAAACTAATTATACATTCAAATATAATTAATTTCTAAATTTATGTATTAACATTTAATAAAATAAATTTTTAAATTTTGAATTAGATTTTCATTTTCAAACGTAAAAACTAACATTTAATAAGTTAAATTTTTAAATTTTAAATTAGATTTTAATTAAATAAAATAATATTATTTAAGGTTAAAATTCTAAATTTTTTTCCAAAATCAAAATAGATACGCCCTATTCTTTACTTTTAATAAGTCAATATTTATTTAGAAAAGATTGAATCCCTTTTGACCCTGTAAACTAGAAAGTGCGGTGTAGGTTGAGTTTTCCTTTGATACTCTGATTAAAACTTGGTAGAGTGAAAAACTGAGGAAAGAAAATGATGGAGATCTCTATTATTGAAAATGTCGAGAGGCTATGGGATTTATGGAACATCAGATCATTCATTATTCTAAGCCTCTCGCTGCAGACTTTCTTAATTCTGTGTGCACTGCTAAGAAAAATAACATGGAGAAAATGGGGAATATTGCTTTGGTCAGCATACTTGCTCGCAGACTGGGTAGCCAGCCTCGCCATTGGATCCATCTTAAGCAACGAGAAGAAAAGTGCTACTAGAAGTACTGACATCCAGGTGTTTTGGGCACCCTTTCTCCTATTACACCTCGGGGGCCCGGACACCATTACTTCCTTTGCTCTTGAGGATAATGAGTTTTGGGTGAGGCACTTGCTTGGGCTTGCATTGCAGGTTGGTTCTACGCTCTATGTCTTCATCTCGTCCCTCCCAAAGAACAAGCTGTGGCTCCCAACCATCCTAGTGCTAATTGCAGGAATAATCAAATATGCAGAGCGGAACCGTGCCTTCTATCTCGCAAGCTTTGACCATCTTGGAGGCAATTGGGTGGCTAGCAAATGGAAAGATGGAATTCACATTCCAGAACAATTCCAAGAGAGGGATAGCCAGGTGACTTTTGATAATGGTTCCAAGTCAAAACTGTGGAGTGCAGTTCACCACTTTGGCAGTATCAAGAGGATATTTGTAGGTCCCCTGTTAACTCAAGATCAATGCTCTGATATCAGAGACACCTTTGTCCAAGAAGGGCCTGATGATGCATTACAAATAATGGAGATTGAGCTAAGCCTCTTGTATGAGATGCTCCATACCAAGTTGCCTGTGGTTGATTGCATGACTGGATACGTCTTCAGGGCCATAAGTCTGGTTTGCATTTTGGGAGCCTTGTTGTCGTTCTCATTACTTAAGAAGCACCATGAGCTGTTTGACATCGTGCTTACCTATGGGTTGCTGGTCGGAGGCTTCGTGTTGGATTTGATATCTGTCATCTTACAGTACTACTGCTCCGATTGGATACTTGTTGCTCACTTGCAAAACAAGGAGGATAAATTCATCGACAGGAAAAGGTGGTCTAATGTAGTTTCCCAGTTAAATTTTATTACTTATCATTTTAAGGATAGTCCATCTTGGTTGAAAAATGTTGCTGATTTTCTTTGCATGAAGAGTTTGTTGGAAGCGTATAGAGGATTAAAATGTCTGTGCCGCGAAAGATTCAGAAGGCAAGAATGGCACTTCATTTTCGAGGAAGTGAAACAATTGAATAAGTTTTTAAATCAAAAAGCAAAAGACTCGTCTAAGACTGTACTAGATGCCAAGGAAGTTTTGTTTTACAGCCGTCAACTAGTTCTTCAGAAATTTTCTGAGCAACTCATCCAGATCACCAAGGACTTGCATCACACGGAAAGCGTTCTAACATGGCATATAGCAACTGAATTATGCTACCGAGCAGACCAAGCGCCTAAGTCTGATGAGTACAAAGCAATATGCAAGAAATTTTCAGATTATATGTTCTATCTTGAAGTAATGCAGCCCACCATGATGGCAGCCGTATCAGACAAATGGAAAATGGTATTTGAAGACACATTGCGGCAGACCGAGTCGTTTGTAAGAAGGAATTCAATCTCAAATGAACAGGAAGCCGGCGGAAAAATCCTTCAAGGGGAGACGGATAAAATGAAAAGAAGAGAGAAAATTCTTGGAGTGAACAACTCTGTGCTGCCTGCTGCAATTGATCTTGCCCAAGAGCTGAAGCAGTCGGGCGGTTCTTATCCGTGGGAATCAATGAGTAAAGTTTGGGTACAACTAATGTGCATTGCTGCTATTAATTGCAGGCCAAGTGTACATGCACAACAACCAAGTAAGGGCGGAGAACTTCTCACATTCGTTTGGTTGTTCATGAATCACTTGGGGCTTGGAACTCACTTTTCAACCCATTACTAAGATTATTAGTGACTTTCATCAAACTGTTCACCAAAGTTTGATTCTTTATACGTATGTCTTTCTTTGTTAGCTACTGCTACATTGTTATGTTTAGTGTATTTGGTTTCTGTATCTTTGATTGAGTAGTTCATCATTCAATCATGTTTAATTGTATTTTGCGTAGATTTTTCATTTGAATTGTTTCCTATTCTCCTCGAATCCTGTCATTTTATGTTTGTATTTATGTTTATAACTTGAATGCAATTTTTTAATAGGAAATAGAAATTATATTAAAGATAAAAGAGAGATTTTATATGAATCTCTAATTCACACCTAAAGTTAGAACTTACCAATAGATACAATTGAAAACTATGCTTAGGATATGAACAATTAAGTTTAGAAAACCACTTATAGATTGTTCTACAATTGTCACAAGGGCAAAACAAAACTACAAAAGTAGGAAGAACATTAGCATGAGTATTCTAAGTTATTGGATATTCTCAACTACCATAGCAACTTCAAAAGAAAGCAAGTAATCCAACAAATAACAATCTCCATCTATTAAATGTTGAATAAGAATCTACATTAACATGTGGAGAGTTGGAGTTTCCTTGAGGAACTATTTTTACCTAATATTTTTTATAAAATTTTTCAAATTTTGATAAAAATATGAAAATATAAAAAATAATAAAATCAAACACAAATTAGAAAATTAATAAATATAAATATAAATATAAAATTTGGTAAGGAGAATAAAATGTGAACAAAAAATAATAAAATGAAAAATATCGGACTTAATTGTGAACTAACCAAGTTTTCTGCTTTATTTCATGGATTTGGATGAAAGAAGATAAAGAATTGGGATTAGAATGTCAAACTGTTAAAAGTTGAACGCTCCAGTTTGTTTCTCAAGCCTTAAATGACGTCATTTTAAGCTCGGGGAATTAAAAATCCTTGGTTTCTTCTTCCTTCTTATCCGGGAACCAAGCGGTCGGCCCCGATTCTGCGTTCTCTTCCTTCCCTGTAACTACCTCTCCAGAATTTCTCCAACGAACTCCTTAGTTCTCGACCGTCATTCTCCTCTCTCACTGGGGATCTCCATATAAAACTCTCAAACCTCCTTTTCCTGAAGGGGCTCCAGATTTTTCTTCCTCTCCGACCTCCTCTCGGTTCCTCTCCTGCTTTCACATCCTTCCTCTTGCGATATCGCCACCTCTCTAGATGTCATCTTTCTCTTCCGATCTCCCTCTCCCTTGGATCCTCAATCTTTCATCTCCGACTCTATTCCAAAACCACTACTAGATCTCTGGAACGACAATCTGGTTTCAGGTCCAGAACTCAACGGCGGATTCCAGGTATTCTCTTATTTTCCGAGTCCGATTCCAGTGCCGTTTCTGCAGTTCCTGCTTGGATCTCGGAGGTTCCGGTGCCCCTCCATCACTATCCAGATTCCAATGTCGTTTCCAGCTCTGGTGTGCTTAATCCCGGCGATTCAGTAACCTTAGACCTCTTTCGGTAAACCTCTCTTCACTTAGCATTTGTATATTAGGTCTAAATTCCTCTTCCTTTATTTTTTCGATTAATCTTCCTTAATCTCTGGCGATTTAGATCCAATATTGAAGTACTTAGGGGACAGAGGGCTAGGTGGAGCCCACCGGATTGGCCCGCTTTGCTGCCCCTGCTCTGTTTGTTTGTTGGGTTAATAAGGTTGAAGATGAGATTTCTGTTGATTTGTGATGTTTTCCATCTCTGTTTCTGTTTTGCGAATTTGTTTGCATTTTCTCTGAATTTAATTGGCTTTTGATAGACCTGTGCATTCTGAAATTTCTGATAGCATCTTGAAATTGCAGTATTATTTTCATATCTCTGCTTAGTTCATTATTTTCTGCATAGTTGGATTTGCACACGTCTTCATCTCATTACTCAGATCTGATCATCCTTGTAAATTTCATGACTTCGTAAATTGTTAATAAATACTGTGCTTGCTACATTCATTTTTTCTTTAGGTCTGTCATGGCATTTGAAACTTGTCACTATATATCCCTTCGTTTGGGCATAATTCCCGAGGACAAGCATTAAAAAAAAATCTGTTTCTGTTTGATTTGGTTTTTCGATATACGATATACTAACCATTTTGTACTCATACAGTCCAGTGGACTTTCCTTTGCTCCCTGCGTTGTACAAATTGATCTTTCAAGCATGCTTTTTTCCTTATACAACCTAAAAAATATATTCTGTTCCATGCGTCCTAATTTTCCCTTTGGAATTTTGTTTATCTCGGGTTGTTCACCTAGCATGCTGTTTGAAGGAACTTCCTTACTTTGATGATATCTGCAGAAAGGGTATAATGTTCTTTAGTTTGGGACAGCAATACTTCGGTGTACTTTATTTGAAAAGGAATGAAAAACCCATGTTTGTTCATTATCCTTTGTTTTAGTGATGTTTAGTATTGAAATGTGTTTCTTTTATTTCCTTGTTCGTTCAAATTAGTATTGCACGTCCATGTAATTTGAGAATTCATTTTACTGATTCACAAGAAATGAAAGAAAATATACTACATGGTATGATACGTTCTTTAGATTACTGTTCGTGAATGTTTGTTTTCTCTTTAGTACTATTGAAAGGAATTAACAAATGGCAAAAATGCATATGATATGCCCAGTATAAATTTT